TTAACAACATTTCCTCGTTATGTTGATGAAAAAGAAAAGTTCCACCGTTTCCTCAACAACAGTTTGAAAACCGCTGCCATAATGCACCCAACAGCCTGTTTTGTCAGACCAGATGTCTAATATCCGAAATCCCCCAAAATCAAGCAAACCTCACAAAAACAAAACAATATTCTGCTTCCAGTCACTGTTCTAGTTAAAATAGATAAAAATGAGTCAAAGCAGAGACTCATTAGACCTCCCGCCTTAGTTCTGTCCAAACCTTGTGCTTGTGTCCACTCTGTGCTTTTCATGACTGACCTACATTAAGCTTCCCAGCCCCTGTCAAGGCAGCATTAATAAAAATAGGGGAAGGGAGGGATTAATGCCCCCCCACCTCCCAGAGCAGTGGGAGAGCTGCTGTTGATGAAGTGCTTCCTCTGGGCTCAGTGAAAGATCATAGTGTCACTAACAGCACAGCGAAAAACCTTATCTGGAAACAACAATGAGCTTCTCTATCAGTTATTGGCCGAAAAATAGCTATTACATCTCGTGGAAGTTTTTCACGTTTGTTTTTTTTTTTTTATCCAGACTTAAATATTACAGGCTGAAATAACCACTGTGACCTTCCTATATTAACGTTGCCGCCAACTTATATAACACGGCACTGCAGCATAAGTATACATCAAATTCACGAGCATCTGAAAAGGTTGTATTTGACGTTTCTTTTTAGGAAGACCACATACGGTCATACCAGCACTGTGAGGGAAGTTCTTCACATTTGGTACAAATATTCACTTGGACTCAATAGTCAAATGATTACATTTTGGTGGCCAAAGGTCAAAGTTCACAGTGACCTCACAAAACATGTTTTTGACCTTGTGAACTCCTCAAGGAAATTCCTTAATATTTTTTGCACAAATGTCTATTTAGCCTCAAGGATGAACTGATTAGATTTTGGTCACCTCACAAAACACATATTTGCTCACAAATTCAGTCACTAATTATGACACAATTTAACACAAATTATGAAGTAATGACGCAACGATGCAAAAACACGTCTGGCCTTAATTCAATGCTGTATCTCAGGAAGGGGAGATTGTGACCATATTTCCGTTATCTTGACTGGTGGGCGGAAGTAAACAACCATGATGCTGGAATTTTTTGCAGAAGCTTGGGTTTCCTCAGTAGATGACGGCCCCTCAGTTGACATGGAGATGGTCCATTTTTTAAATATCTAAAATACAATATACAAGCAGTCGTTGATACCTGCAGGAATTTTCTTGAAAGAAAAAAGAAAATCTGTCCTCTGCTATTTTTTTTTTTTTTTATTGTATGCTTGCCTGTAATTCACAGCTCCAAAGAAATACATTTCTATATGTAACCTGTAACCTGCTGTGCACGGACTTTAAGGCTCCCCAAGGCATAAGTAGAACCAAATTGCATCCTTTTCAGGATCCTTCCAAACAACCAGAAATGTACCCCCTTCTGTGAAATCGTAGGGAGACTATTGCTTACCTAAAATGAAGAGAATTTGTCTTCATTTCTCACCGTTTCCCAAAGGGAATCCAAGTCTTATTATTATTGCATTACATTAACCAAGCAGTTATCTGCGCCTGTCAAGTGAAACTGTGAAAATTGACACCATTTGTTTGAATTTCATGTCAGCAGTCCGGCTGAAAGGGTAGACAGCATTTTCCTCGCATAATTCACCCTGCAGAGTATTTTAAATATGTACCATTAGAGTGTTTTTCCATTTCAGTATTGACAGCTCTCCTCCGGCTCTGACAGTCTTTTTAAATCACGACCTTGTCAGTGGAATGAATGGCCGTCAGAGCGCCAGCGTGAGCAACTCAGCATCACGACTACTGCTCTCTATTCCTCTCTTGCATTTTCTCGGGATATAAATAAGGACAAGCAGTTTATATGACTTCACATTTGTCAAAGATCTGTCGTGTTTTACATCTTCTTTTTCCAAGAAAATACCAGTCTGATGTCAGAGGCTTATTTTATTTATTTACTCGGATGTTCATCAGAGGACAGTGCCTGTGATAACTGACAGAAATACTGAACTTGTGCTGCTATCCACCTGATTACACCTGTACACAGGGTTGAACAATGTGACATGTAAATGTGATTTTGTGACTTTAATTGTATTCAGTCAGGAAATTCTACTTTAAGTCATCATAGCTATGACTTGACTCATGTATTAAGGTACCACATAAGTACTATTCTTGACATTACTAGGTAATACTACTATTTGTAAATTGTAGCTACTGCCGATTGCCAGCATGTGAGGGTGGGGGCGTCTTTGCCTAGGCCCACTTGTAGTAGTACACCAACAAATATACTTACTCTCTACTTGTTCTTTATAATCATAGGTCTTGCTCACGTTTTGAAATGAAATATCTTTGATGAAGCTATTATCCTTTCGCCCCTTCACCTGTTTCTCATGCTTCCACATTCACAGCTCTGTCTTAGGTCCCTTTAGTTTCATGTGAGTCTGTTCTTTAGACGTTGTCCATCTGTTGTATCTCTGGGAGATGGGCTTAGTAATGCATGCGCTCTATTTTTGGGACACGGTGCGTTGAAATGAAACTTTGACTTCATCTTCACACATCCTTGGGAGCACCTGGTGGGCACACTCCTCTCCTCGGCTCCTTTGTGGCTTGGTTTGAGAGGAGGTGGGTAAACACCGGGGGAACAGAGGAGAAATGAGAGAGGCCGAGGGCCAGGAAAAAGGTGGAGTAAAGAGAGGAGAGCAATGCCAGGGCCTGTGGTCATCCTGCAGGGTGTATGCGGCTGCCAGAGGCCTTGTAATCCTCCCCACCCCTGCCCTCCATCCCCTCTCTATCATCCCCTCCACCTCACCATGACAAACCGGATCTGCTCTCTATCAAACAGCCACAGGCTACCTCTCCCCTTTTTTTTCCTCCTTTCTTACCCAGTGGTCCTCATCCCATTTGTCATTTACACCGCCTCGGTCTTGGTCAGCTCGCAGGGACAGGCTGCTGCTGCCAAGCTTGGCCGCCGAGCTCGCGGGCCTGGCAAGGAGGAGCCACCAGTTCCCCCAGTGGCAGCATTTAGAAAGCCACTTAATGGGTTTAGGCGCATTTGCTAATTTGTCAACAAGTTTTGGACGTGGAACTCACGCCAGGCTGGTTGGTCTGCCTCTTGACTGGAAGGGATCTCTATTGGCCCGACCATTCCTGGAGCCATGGGTGAAATCAAATTAAAAGGCCTTGCATACTTGACTATCTGTGTGTTGGCGCTTGAGGCTGCTGAACTCAGTGCTGATTGCCTTACAAACGAGCTGATGTACTGACTAATTATCATTATTGTCCAGAGTTTTAATGGAGTTGGACTCGGAGGATTTTCAGTATAGGAAGGAGGAGCGTGAATAACTTTCCGTTTTATTTTCGTTTGATGATGATTAAATCCACTGATAAGAAAACCCTTTTTCTTTGAATTGCAAGTGTTCAATCTCCAGTGCCCACTGGAGGTGTCATGTTATTTTTTAATATGTGTCTTAATGTACAAACATCTATCAATTGAATTTGAATTTTACTCCAATCAAGTTCTAGAAACATCTTATAGACGATCAAGAGAAATTGGAGAAACCTGAGTTAAATTTCAAGTGCCATATCAGAGGGTGAGAATACAACTTTGAGTTTGTGATATTTCAGTTTCTAACATCCTGTTTTTGTTCCATTATTATGGGGTATTGAGTGTAGATTGATGATTGGTGATGGAAAAAAATCCATCCATCTATTCATTTTCTTCCGCTTACCCAAGGCAACAGATCAAGCAGAGTACACCAAACGTCCCTTTAGTTCCAGCTCCACCTGTGGGATCCCAAGGCATTCCCAAACCACATTAGATATATAATCTCTCCAGCGTGTTCAGGATCTAGCCCAGGGCCTCCTGGCAGTTGGATGTCAAGTTGGTTCCATGGCGTGCCGATCCCCTGCTTTGTAGTCTACCTTGATGAGGGAAAGAATATTTATTATATTTTAGCATAAAGCAACATAACTAAATGTGAAGACTCTATAAAAGCACTATAAGTCTTCAGTTGGAATCAATGGGCTTTGAGCCTAGAGCCACAGACAGAGGAGGGAGGTGTTGAGAGATGGACATTGTCGAATCTGGTCTTTTAATGGGGTTTGGTGACGAGAAAAATATAAATATTCCCCAAACACATTGTTTAACTGACTTCACCTCTGCTATTCACCAAAAACAAGATGTATTTTCAAAAACCTTTTATTTTGGCCGTGGAGTGTGAAACTTAAGTATCTCAAGTTAAATAGTATGAAAGTATGACGGTAAACCAGAAGGGACATTTTGGACCAGAATTATTTATCATTATCACATGAGCATGAGCAATTAAACAAACTCGACCTGGACCCCAATATGCAACAGGAAATAGATGGATAAATTAACCAATTGGAAATCATTAATTATTGTCGGTTGATTTTTTTTTCTGAAATAATCAGCCACCTGTTCTGACTTAGCGGGTTTCATCGCAATTGTATGTGCGCAGAAAATGACTGAGCAGTGCCCCCTGCTGGACAATCCACCATCGCAGTTGCGTTTTTAGTTTATAAGTGTGTATTGTTTGTAGAAGATGAGCGAAAATATCCAAATTACCGCTGTAAATTACATTTTAGACTTCACTTTAACTTTAATACCTTGGAAGGTCGTCTTTGATGAAGCTGATGACCTTTCGGAACCTCCGGATACCTTTTTAACAGTGCAAATAGTGGGTATTGGAGTGCAACCTGCTACTTTCATAAAATACCCAAGACCAGCCGGATGAATTCAGATGAGAGTCATGATCTTCATTTCACCAATTTATCTCACTTTATTGGTAAAGCATGCAGGTTGGGATTGTAGACTTCACGTCACGGACTTGAGAAAAAAGTTATATTTCCAACTCTCGGGCTACATTAAATCAATGCCAAACACCTCAGATGTAAGGCTGAGATCTTTTTTTTTTCTTCTCCTGTTTGTTTTCATCAATCCAGGGTTTCTAAGCACAGGAGACCAGGCAGCCAAGGGCAACTACGGCCTGCTGGATCAAATTCAGGCTCTTAGGTGGATCAAAGAAAACATCCAGGCCTTCAAAGGAGATCCAAAGAGAGTGACCATTTTTGGCTCCGGTGCCGGAGCGTCGTGCGTCAGCCTGCTCACCCTCTCGCATTACTCAGAAGGTACGTGTCCTCGCTCACATGCAAAGAGACCTTTTCATCATTTTGTCATTTCTGCTGCAGTGTTTTGTTACAGCGTGGGCTTCACACATTCACAGTGAGCTCTGGAATGTTGGTGTTGTTTCTTTGAAGGAAGGTGTGACCAGGAACATTTCAACTTTTTTGTGATTTTCCTGATTTTATAAAGAGTTTTGGCAAATTGCCATGAAATTTCATTTGCACATCCAGGAAGTGACACCTTCAGGCAAAAATGCAGTTTCAAAAAAATATATATTTTATCATCTAACAGGTCTATTGGCATTAAATTTGTTGAGCACAGCTATGCACATGAGAATATGTTGAATCCCTAAATCCCTTGAATTTAAATGACCTTGGGACCATTCCATGAGTACCACCCTCAGGAAATTCAAGTTTTTTTCTATTACCTTGTACTTCTCTCATGTTCTGATTCAAGTTCTGCCTTTTAGTCATTGTTCTACACTGTTGTGTTTTTATTCTTGTAGTAGGCCGATTTTTTGGTTCATTATCAGCTACACAGCCATTATATTTCAATATTTTATAACATGTAGATATAAAATAAAAACCTTGATTGGAGCAATTTCATATGCTGACATATACAGTATGTCTAACCCATACAAATATGTATGTTTATGTATGTATGCTTATATTGTAGACATATGTCATATGAGTATGTATCCATCCCAGAGCCTGTGTTGATATTACATACAGTCCAAAAGTAAAAAAGAAAAACATATATGAGCATATTGAATTTATATATGTATGTTGTTTTAATAAACTTGCATATATAAATTAAATATATATCATTAACATATATGATGATGTTATACAGTACCATATAGATATTTTCTATATATGTATATATAAAATTCGTAAGAAATTAATAAGAAAAAACTATATATACATATAGATTTTTAAATATATGTTGTTTTAATGAATGAATATATAAAAATATGTTATACCATATAAAAATTAATTACATAGATATTTTTTTATATATGTACATTTTACTATGGGTATTTCATGTATGTTATGAACTTATATCTTCATATATCCAGAGGATGTATATATGTGATAATAATATATCCGCTTATAGGTGACATATGCCAACATCACTCTTGATATAGGTGATATACGATATATACATAGTGTTTTACATGTTCACTTTATTATCATGAGGCATAGTTAATGTTGCAGCATCTGTTTTGACACATAGTTCTCTGTTTTACAAAAGACAGACGATAACACCGCCAAAGTATATTTTCATCCATGCCTCAGTCTCTAAACATTTCTGCATTGTAGGAGAAGGAATGAATGGCACAGATTCTGGATTATCATATTGTATTTATATGTATTATTAATGGAAAACTTAAATAGAACAGCCAAAAGATCATATTTCCTGTCTCTCACAGAGCTCCTGGCTTTCACAAATGAATAGTTTTGTGCAACTCAAATTTATACAACAGGCGAGGAAAAATCGCCAGACCCATCTGTCAGAAAAAAAGAAGGATTTGGAGGATTGAATGTAGAGAAAGTGCTGCTGCAGTTCCCAGGCCATTCCCCCCCTCTGTGTGGGACAAATAATAGGCTTTGTGAAAAATGCACCTTCCCACAAAATCAACCTTTTTATCTCGCCAGTTGAAGTCCATTGGGTTTACTAGTGAGGGAGACTTCCTGTTTCCCCTTTGCTCTTGTGTTACAGTTATTAGGTCTGTTTCAGTCTCCTTCATCTTGCACTTGAGGGAATGGGAAGGTTTTAGTTTACATTTAGGTAAAAGTCCTCATGTTCTGAAAGGCACCAATCATGACTGAGCTAGTCAACACACACGCCGAACCATGCCAGACGTTCTTGCTGATATATAATACATCAAAGACGGACGTAATGCTCCCTTTAGCTCCGTTGTAAAGCTGCTATTAAGATAGTTGTACCATCAGCGAGTCACATACCAAGGTCATAAAAAGCTCTCAGTCGCTCTGTGTGTATATTTTTGAAGTTAACATCCGACTTGAGGTTTAACTGATGCTCCACATCTGACTAACAGCGGCAGCAGTAAAACCCTATACGCCTGCTTCGCCAGGCCTTGTGGGAAGTGTCTTCATTGTGCTCAAAACATACTTTTCAAGTTGGCCTGGTTGAGTCATCACCACTGTGTGTTTGCATGAGTATAAATAGCACTCTCAGAAACAAAAAATATATATATATATATATATATATATATATATATATATACACACACATAACTCCAGTGTTCCTAGTGTACTGTGGCCTACTTGCTGATTGGCAGCTCGTGAAGCCTTGCTACCTATTCAAGGATGTGGAAAGTCCCTAAGGTGTTGTTGCTATATAAGCAGCAAATATCTTTTATGTTCCCGTTTGTTCATTAGGGACACAAAGATGTAACGTCAGTATTGTGAATCATCTTTTTATTTGCCTGAAATGCTTCATGCCGATATGAAAATGGAGAGAATTGAAGAATTCTGTGTTTGACTCATATTTGTAAATTGGGCAAATTATCAATTTTAAAATGCTACATTCAAACTCTGCCATGAGGTATTGTTGCATAAAAATACAATTAATAACAAGCCAGAACAGATGCATTTTAATGTGAAATTTCTTGTAATGTATGACATATACAGTATGTCCCCATATCAAGAGTGATGTTGCAATATATGATGGATATATGATGGATATTCCCTAACCCTAACCCTAACCCTAACCCTAACCCATATAAAAATTTGCATATGTATATATGTTAAATATGTGATGGACTTGTACGTGATATACAATGTTGCATATGTTTGCAATATATATTTACTTTAGATATGTATTTATTAAAACTTGAAATTGTTCGAATTTATAATTGTGCATATATTTTATTTATATAACTAAATCAAAGCAAGTTGCACAACACAAACCAGTTCTTACATAGGCTTAGTTGCTACAAAATATTTACACCTACTAACAGATATATATAATGGCTGATAATGAAGTATACAATTTGAAAATGAAATTCAATATATCTACATATATCACATTTGTGTATGGGTATAGTGTAAAGGACTTACTACATTTTCAGCAGTGTTCCTAAAACTAGATTTAGACCATTTCTGCACTTTTTGTCAAGGGATCATTAAGAAACACTAAATGGATGAAAGAGGTTGTATCACATGTGTACCAAAGCTTGATAAAACAGATTACATTATACAGTATATAAATGATACACTCTAGCAACTGGAGTTGAAAAAAAAACACTTAAGAGGAGCTATATTGCCCAGGCAAGGTTAGGTTTTGTGGGTGAAAAGATGGAGCCACACAGGTGAAGTGGTGTCACTTTACCTTGCATATTAAGAAAGAATCTTAGTTCTCAAAAGGGAGAAATGTGTTTTTTGGTTTCATGGTTGCACTTGCTGCTCATTAATTTAACTTAGAACTGTATTTGCATAAAGCAGTAAAAGTAACGTTCTATCAGAGACTGACAGTCACATTGACAAAAAGAGCCTCAGACATCCACCGGGAAGAGGCTCGCTGCTGGCTAGAGACTGCATGCTAGATATGTAATTAGCTAGTCAGCAGTGGTACATGAAATAGCTTGTTTAAAATGACTACTAACAATACATCATCAAGTTTGTGTGCTTTGTCTTTCTGTTTCCCTGTTGGAGCCCAGGAACACAAAAGGAAGGCCATTCCCATGCTTTTAACCAACTCTTTGCTGCCAATAGTGTGTATGTGTGTCTTTCACTAATACCAGCTTCAATCTCAGATCTGTTCCAGAAAGCCATCATCCAGAGTGGCACGGCACTGTCCAGCTGGGCGGTCAACTACCAGCCTGCCAAATATACGCGAGCCCTGGCTGAGAAGGTGGGCTGCAACATGTTGGACACCATCGACCTGGTGGAGTGTTTGCAGAACAAGAACTACAAGGAGCTGATTGAGCAGTACATCACTCCTGCAAAGTACCATATTGCATTTGGCCCTGTGATTGATGGAGATGTGATTCCAGATGACCCCCAGATCCTGATGGAGCAAGGGGAGTTCCTCAACTATGACATCATGCTGGGGGTCAATCAAGGAGAAGGGTTTAAGTTTGTTGATGGCATTGTGGACAGCGAGGACGGGGTTTCTGCCAATGACTTTGACTTTGCTGTGTCGGACTTCGTGGACCATCTCTATGGCTACCCGGAGGGCAAGGACACTCTGCGTGAGACCATCAAATTCATGTACACAGACTGGGCAGACAAGGAGAATCCAGAGACCCGACGCAAGACCCTGGTGGCTCTGTTCACTGACCACCAGTGGGTAGCGCCAGCAGTGGCCACAGCTGACCTCCACGCCCAGTATGGCTCACCAACCTACTTCTACGCATTCTACCACCACTGTCAGAGTGACATGAAGCCCAGCTGGGCCGACTCGGCCCATGGTGACGAAGTACCGTATGTGTTCGGGATCCCTATGATCGGCCCTACGGATCTCTTCAACTGCAACTTCTCTAAGAACGACGTGATGCTGAGTGCTGTGGTCATGACCTACTGGACTAACTTTGCAAAAACAGGGTGAGTGTTCCTTTCTTTCATCATTTCCTTTTTATTCATGATGTACCATCACTTCTGACAGAGATACATAACCCTTAGCATTGTTTTTGCATCTAAAAGTCCCCCCCCCTTTTCCTAGAGTCATTAATCACCACACTGCATCAAACACTGGAATCAGTATAAACATCCATATTTGCTTAGCAACAATTTAAAAGGGGTCCTCTTCATAATATGAGTCCTTGTCTCAGAATGACCCATCTTGTTTTGATGGGTTTCAAAATTGCCCAGTATTTGCTGTTTATGCATGCAAGGTTCAAAGGTTCATTTTATCCATCCATAAATTCATGGAAATTACAGATCTCACTCCTACCCTGATCAACCAACACTGACTGCGGAACATAAGAAATAAATACCCATAAAAAATAAAACCACAGATAAAAGCAACACTGTAAAACTGGTAAGGGAGGGGAAAAGAAACCATTCAAACAAAAACATGAGGAACTACGATTAAAACTGAATACAAATCCATCTGATCCATGTTTGCAGCCCAGACAGGAACTGCTACTTGCTAATGCACAATGACTTTGCATGGTGCAAATCTGCCAAAATCTAAAAACCTTCAGGTATATAGAATCCAGAGCTTTGGACTTGCAGACTTGTCCATCGGAAGTGCTTTCCATCACTGTGTCCTAGTACACACGATGTAGGGGTGGCCGATATAATGACTCATTGTATCGCAGCTGGTTCCACGTGGGATGCAGTAAATGACTATATCGCGAACATCGAGCACAAATTGTCACACAATGGTTATTAAGATACTGCTATCAAATTTGCTTTGGCATTCGAAGCTCTGCCTTTGTTCAGGGCTTGTTCTTGGTTGTGATTTCTATCTTTTTCATTGAAATTTAAAATTGTTCCAGTAGAAAACCTTTAATTAACAAAAGTTTACAAAAATGTTTCAATGCAGACAAATGTTACAGGGAGTACAATCATCATAGCAGTGGTTTAATGCATCAAAGTTTGAGGAGATTTCGAAATATTGAGATATATATTGTGTATCACGATACACCCTAAAAATATTGCAATAAAACCTATAGACTGTATTGCCCAGCACTAGCTGAAGGCATCTGAGAAGCCTTTAAATAAAGTGAGTCCAAAAAGTTTATGGTTCTTCTTTTAATCTGTTTCTGACTGTTAAAAATGACCTTTAAAGCAAAAACTGTATTCCAAAATAGGGCTCTTCCATATCTCACATCCATGTGTGCAACTTCAATTGGATACTCAAACTCAAACCCAATCTCATGTCTTACCTAACTCATGTTGCGGGTCTTCCTTGACTTTTGGCCCAGTAAAGTGATCCTGCTTGTCCCTGGCATCTTTTGCTCTCTGTCAAATGTTCATATCTTCCTACAGGCACTATCAGTATGGGTCCTGGTAACCTTGGTTACTAAGGCAACCGTGGATGATAGTGGAGCAGCTGAACATTCACAAGGCGAGAGATAAACAACGGGCTTATGGTGCCCTGTGACCGACCTTGTGTGTAGATACTTGCAGACTCATTGAGAATGAATGGACTCAAAGGAAGAAATTCCTTAACACCAACAAAAAAAGTTGTGTTGTGATTACCGGTTTGATGATTAGCACATGAGTCAAAGAGATCAAGTGGAGGTTAATAAAACAAGTCAAATCCTCCCTCGCTTCTGTGGCACCGCTGGGTTTGATGAGAGGATTTGCTTGCTGTGTATATTTGGATCATGTTTTTGTTTCACACACCTTGAGATTAGGTATTCGGATGTTTGCAGCCTAGTCATACTGAACATTCACTTTAAGTTGCATGAATAAAGTCTTGATCAGCTTCATAGGCTGCAGTGTTCACTCTCCCTGTTTGGCTACCATCCAAGTGGACGCCTGCTCAGTGGGGGGGGGTGGGGATAGTGTGTGTGTGTGTGTGTGTGCACTCACTGCCTTATATACACTTCAAGAAAGCTCTTTTCTCTCGATGCTTCCAATAAAGCAGCGACTGAAGGCGAATTCATCACTGGGAGTGTGGCCATTTTTCAACAAGGCTGCTCCGCTCTTTGCAAAAGTCTCCCACTGTGAATCACAACAGATTGATGTTTTTTGAAACTCTTCCTGATGCCAGTAAAAAAAAAAAAAAATTGGACAATTTAGATGTACACACAATAAGGTTGAGTGTGGCTGTGATTATGTATGAGTGTGTTGCTGTTTGTGTTCTGTCTCTCAACATGTGGTGGCTTTCAGGCAGAGAAATAGATTTGAGATGTTGATATCAAAGATCCCATATATTATAAAGGTTGATGTTCATGTCTATATTAATAACTTTAACTGTGAAAGTACCAAAGAGCTCAGTCCACAGAGAAATGCACACAGCCTGTATTCAGAAACTGAGCCAGCCATCAAAATTTCCTGAACTTTGTGATGTCACAACTCCTTGAACCATGCCCCTACCTGGACCCACCATCCAACCTTGCAGGATTTGGTTTCTCTGAGTGTTTACCTGAAAATCTGCTATATCTTTAATCTATCATTCAGAAAACAGTCAGCCAATCAGAAGAGAAGGTCAGAGCCTCCTCTCTTCTGATTGGTTCACTAACCTGTTGTCACTAGAGCTCCAGAGAGAAGCCTGAGAGAGGAGATGTAAAACTACATTAGGGATATCAAAATTTTAAAATAAAACACAATGATAATAATACACCTTTAGGTGTAAAATATTGGACCTTTAGATTGATAACAACATTTTGATATAAATGCCAGAATACAAATGTATACTGGTGCTGCAAAGATTTTAGATATACCTTGGATCATCAGTGCAATGGGCAGGAATAAGATCGGATGAGGGCGCCGATAACCCATGTTCGTCCCTCTCTCTCTGTGCAAAGTGTCCAGTTTTTCTGGCCTCAGGTTTTGCTGTCGGAGCGGCCGAGCACGAGATTTATTGACAGGATATCTGTCAAATTTAATCCTTTTTAATACCACTTCCACTGCAGAATTAATGCACATGGGTGTTTAAATCACAAATTAATATGGATATTCTTCCAATATTGATATTTGTCTTCTCCATATGACAAATGTCCAGTTGGGACACTGAGTACAGGACCTTACAGAGGACTCTTACAGGAATTCGACAGGCTGGTGAGAGCTTTGGAGACCTCTGAAACCAAACAGGAAGAGGTTAACGTACAGGCCATGAAGTAGTAGGACGGAGTAGGAAAGAGAAAAAGAAATTAAAGTCTCCAGTTGAATCCAGTTATCTGGTTGGAAGAGACAGAGCATCCTAAGTTGGTGGCAGGAAACAAAACAAAAACTGCCTTGAAAGAGGAGAATGAAAGGTTATAAGGACAGCCATTAGGAAGAAGGTGGCAAAAACTTGGAGGCAGAGTGTGAGAGCCGGTGGAGCAGTAAGGGAGGAAATGACAGAGTGTGAGGAGCAGGTTTGACAGCTCAAACTGGTGGTCAGTGAAAAAACAAGACAAGGACATCACCAGATTGACGACAGAAATTACGGCTCTACTGAGGAACATCTGGAAAGGCTGCTCCAACTGAGCCGGAAGGAAAGTTGTTGCTCCCTCACTCCTCTGTGTTTGAGGGTGTAGTTACGCTGCAAGGTGTAACTTGAGGTTTTCAGACTATTGTTTTCTGCTGGTGTTGGCTGACTTTGTAACAATCAAATCAGTTGCAAAATGCTGGGACATTGTATTTGTTAAAGTTCCCCTACTGTGAAAGTATCAAAGCGTTCAGTCCACAGAGAAATGCTCACAGCCTGTATTCAGAAACTGAGCCTTAAAACCAGCCGTCAGGGCTTCCTGAACTTTGTGATGTCACAACAAAGCAGTCACCACCCTCCACCATCAGAGGAGTATGGTCCATAGAGGCGGAGGGCTCTTAATATAAAAAAAGAATAATGGTTGAAATAAAACATTACTCAGTCTCAGTATTATTTATAAATTCATTTTTCTTTCATTCCCTTTCATTCTTTTACTTTTATAGTAATCTGTCATTGGCCAAAATGTGTAACATAATGCTCCAATGGAGGATGTGCTCCCTGACCAATCAACCAGAATCCAATCCGATAGGAATTTTCTCTTCAACACTGTGTTGTATCTGAGTGTGAAGAACTGGTAGTAATGAAGGATTCATACAGGATTATCATATTAGAAAATAAATTATAATCTGCATCTTTTCAACACATCACACAAAAAAAAAGTATTTTATTCAGAGTAAAAAAATTGCAACGCTTTAATCGAGCAGGACCTAGCTAGTCCTACATGTGTCAGCAAGCACAATATTAACTTGTTACTAACTAGCAACCCTGAAGGGGTTAACTGATTGTTGCTATAACACTAAAGGTCACACATTTAAAGCTGCTCTGGTGTCAGATGATAACAAGGTAACAACGAATACATTACAGCTAAGCCGAGTACATGAAGGCATCTGTTCCACCACTCTTTTTTCAGTGTCTGTACACCTGTCGCAGTGAGTAAAGATTCAGTATGGCTACCTATGGCAGAAGACACTGTTATTATTATGGAAACATATGCAAGCAAAGCATGCGTTGTGCAGTTGGATAGCATGGAAGGCCTTGAGCGTTGTCTGTTTCTTCGGTGTGTGTGTGTGTGTGTGTGTGGGGCATATTGTTCCAGCATATGCTAGAACTGAGATGACAGGCCTTAAGTGAAACCCCACCGCATTCTAGCAGAGCCTTATGTATAATTCCATATGTAGCCACCAGTTGGAGGGCAGACCTTGCATTATGGCTGAGCCCAGCCTTTTTAATGAGAGAAATACCTTAGGGAAAAGTACAGGAGGGGACAAATTGGACCAATGTGTTTACAGTACCTTTAACAGATCTCCTATCAGTTGTTATCTTGGCAACAAATACTTTTAATGGGGTCCATATTAATGGATTACACTTTCATGGTAGAATAAATTCACTATGATGCCGGAGATCAGCACGTCAAGGTTCCCGACCCTGATTCCTATCCCTGTAGGTGGTGGGCCCTCATGGGTCAAGGCCCAGCCTTGAGCTCAATGGTGAGCTCCCCTCCCTGGTGGGTGTTGTACCAAACCCAGTGTTGAGCATGAACGCTCTAAAAGAACGCATTCATTGGACATGCTCATGTTGGTCAATAGTGAATTTGACATACCGTTTGCAACTAACGAACGTGAGCATTGTTAACTCTCGCAAGACTTAACAGCTCTTTATGTTTTACAGCAGAACCCATGGATTAAGAGTAAATATATGGAGCTGAATTACATTTGTAGACCAAACTCTTTTGAATTGTCCTGCTCTACAAGACATTGTTTAAGTCATAAAATATATACTTAAATTACATTTCTTGGCTTTTAAAAGTAATCACTGTTAGTGATCTTATAGCAGTGTACAGTAATTAATTTAGATTGTGAAGTGGGGGCTGCCGATGGATGGGTAGCAGGAGGTTCTACTGTTTATTTGGGAATAAAGCAGAAGAAATAGCTCCTTTTAATCTGTTTAAGCTGAACTTCGAGTTAGCTCTGGACCTTTGTGGTGAAAACAGAGCTGGAAGGTAAAGCTGTGATTTACTGGTTGATCTACCTGAACTATGGTCATGAGATTTGGGTCATGACTGAAAGAAGCTGCTCATTTCGCTAGGGTTAGGATTAGGGGTTAGGTCAGGGTTAAAATAAAGGGTCCCCTTCCCTTAACTCAGGGTCCCCTTCCTGAGTTACAGCATTGAATAATGGACAAAATGTTTTGCATAACATTATGATGTCACAGTGAAGTCGACCTTGGACCTTTTAGATATGAAATGTTATCACTTCATTATATACTTATAGACATTTGAGTTAAAATGTGTCATTATTAGGGTATGAATTTGTGAGTTATGGCCAAAAACGTCTTTTGTGAGTTAACAGCGACCTTGACCTTTGACTTTTGACCACCAGATTCTGATCAGTTCATCCTTGAGTCCTAATGAATAATTATGCCAAATTAGAAGAAGTACACATAAAGCATTACTGAGATATCTCATTCACGAGAATGGGATGGATGAACGGACAACCATAATATTAAAGAAAATGAAAATGAAAGGCCATTTGACATCAATGTCATGACCTTAGCGCTAGTATGTTAAGATTTTTTTCTGAAATTTCCATTTTGGCAATAAACATTGTTTCTCAAACTTGAAAAAGAGAATTTCAATATTGACAGTCTTGGACTTCCATACATGCTCATATTTAGGTTACATATGCCAAGTCTGACTGCACAACAGCCCGGCTGTTCACTTCAGGAGCACATTTCTCTGCCGGTTAGCAAGCGATTCTGCTCCTCTCCCCTTTCAAACGTAGAGCTGATCTTTATAATAATCTCATGAATGTATAATGTAAAGCTTTTTATATATTCCTGGATAAGGATCAGCTTGTCTGCTTGTCTGTCTCACTTTTTGTATATTTACGGATCTACTTTAACCCCTGCACAGACCTTTTCAGACAAAAATCACTGACTGAATGAATATAATGAATACATTACATTCATTTGGACTAACAAAAAGTGAATTCAACCTGCAGAGGAGGAAGTAGAAGTCCATGCATCGATGTAAAACCACCTTGAGCACAAACACAACTGCACCCTCACCTCACCCACTTATTTGCGTGATTCAAGACGGTCCTTCCTATTGAGTATTCAGGGAAATGCCCCCGTACATGCACAAACTCACCAACACACACAAACAGACAAACAAACACTCCAAGGTTGCTGTCCCCCACTCCAAATTTAATGAAATCGCTCTCACAAAGTCGCAGGAGAGGCAGCTGTATTCCAAACTAAAAAAAAAAAAAAATAGAAACTCTGACAACAGACCTGGAGATGTGTCAGTGGTGTATAAAGGGCACAGAACATTTTGTCACCTCCCGCATTCAAATTCTGAGCGACCTCGAAAACACATTAGATTTGAACAGTGGGCTGAGAAAGAGAAGAAAGGCTTTGGCTTTATTGAGTAATAACTCATCTGGAAGGGTAACAAATGGGCAGTTCCATTGTTGATTTGTGTTATCATGCAGCTTTAAAACCATCTGAAGGAAAAGCTCATTTACAGAGATTTTTTTAAATAATTTCATCATGTTTTAAATGGTATTGACTGGATAGCACAGATACATAAGAAAAAGTTCTGCATTCTGATTTAATATCTCCCCTTCTCTGTTTTCCTTTCTCAGGGATCCAAACCAGCCAGTTCCCCAGGATACAAAGTTTATCCACACAAAGCCCAACCGATTTGAGGAGGTAGCCTGGACCAAGTACAACCCCAAAGACCAGCTCTACCTCCACATCGGCCTCAAACCTCGAGTCCGCGACCACTACCGAGCCACCAAGGTCGCATTCTGGTTAGAACTAGTTCCGCATCTTCACAACATAAATGAGTTTTTTCAGTATGTATCAACCACTACCAAGATACCACCGCAAGACACTACCCCATACCCTTACACCAAACGGTTCCCTGGTAAAAACAACTGGCCATCCACCACCCGCCACCCAGGGGTGCCGCCTGCCAACACCAAACAAACCACCGACCAGCGCAAGAGTGGCGACCTTACCGACGAGTCAACCGTGGTGATCGAGACCAAGAGGGACTACTCGACCGAGCTCAGCGTCACTATTGCAGTCGGAGCCTCCCTTCTCTTCCTGAACATCCTTGCCTTCGCTGCGCTCTACTACAAGAAAGACAAACGGCGGCACGAGTCCAACCGGCGCGTTCCCACCCCACAACGCAACTCCGCTCCGACCAACACCCCGTCCAATGCCAATGACGTGGCCCACCTGCAGAGCGAGGAGCTGATGTCGCTGCAGATGAAGCAGCAGCAACTGGAGCACGAGCACCACCACGAGTGCGAGTCGCTGCAGGCCCACGACACGCTGCGCCTCACTTGCCCGCCCGATTACACCCTTACCCTGCGCCGGTCACCTGACGACATACCCCTGATGACTCCCAGCACCATCACCATGATCCCCAACTCCCTGGCTGGCATGCAGCCTCTGCACAACTTCAATACTTTCGGTGGCAGCCAGAACAGTACCAACTTACCCCACGGCCATTCCACCACACGGGTATAGCTCTGCTGGGACTGCATGGCGCCAGGTTCCCTCTGGACCAGCAACCGAACCACACAAGGCAAACATAAGTGACTGACTGTGGGAAGCACAGACTCCAAAGTCTTAGCAGATGTTATTTTGCTACCATGCCTTCTTGAAATGTACAAACAGTATAAATTGATCATGAACTCATGAAAATATTCAAAGTGAATGTTACTATAGTAATAACTCTATTTGGAGCTGAGCTTCATGGAAGGTTTTCGAGGAGTTTTACCAAAAGAAAAGGCAACCAAGGGGTGACTGTTAATATTCCTACAACACTAAATGAACAGTTTCTGTGGACAAACAAACATTTTGCGGAGGCTTTCGTGCCATAAATACAACAGGAAGACAGTGGCAACAATTGAACATCTTGAACATCATCTTTCATGATCCTTCATGCACCTGAATTGGGCACACAGTTCTACACCCCAGCCTGAAATGTATTTATGAAAACTTTGTAAAAAAAAAAAAAAAAAAGAAAAAAAAAGAAACAAAAAAGAAAAAAGGTATATAGTTGTGTGTGGAAATTTAAAAATTTAAAAAAAGAAAAATGATATTAAAAGAGTTCCTTCTGTTGTTTCCATTTTTCTTTTTTCTTCTTTTTCCGTGTAAATATAGTCAAACATCTGTCATTCTTTCCCCCTGATTACAAACCTGCGTTTCATTATTTTTCATACAACGACCAAAATGCGAACACAATCCCATCCTCGAGTTGCACATCATTGCGTCTGCAGGTCATCACACACGGTACTGTTTTGTGCATTTGCTTTGTGTCCACTCTCTTAGACATTGCATGTCCAGGAAGCTTTACTCTGTATTTTCAGACACGTCCTGTCTAGGAATGAGGACTGACTGGATCTCATCACCTGCTGTCAGTGGTTTTCTTTGTGGGCTTTTTTTCTGTCTTGCAACCTCAGCACTGCCTAAGCTTACAATGTGACCAGCAATTTATTATTTAGGAACAAAAAAAAGGCAGTGATTTTTCTTTTTTTTTTTTTTTTGTATTTTTCCTTTATTTATTTTTTTTGTATCAATATTAAGTTGGATATGTTTGTAAAGAAATATATGTTAGATATTTCAAATTGTCATATGCTAGCAATATGTAAAGTATTGTGCCAGGCTTGTGATATTTTGGGTTACAAAAGCAAGTGAATGTGTAAATATTAATGATATTAATTATTATAAAATTATAACAAAGTAACCATTAACTCTCTTTCTGTTTTGCATCCTATTACAAAAAAAAAGGAAGAACATCCAGAAGATTTTAAGCTACATTTGTAAATTCTATAAAAAGATATATTCTTGCCATTTGGTCCCTAAACCAGTCGAGATAACAAGGGTTTTAATGTAGAGTTTTAAAATCCTTAGTTTGTCTTATATATGTTTGCAGTTTTGCCTTAAGTGATGATAGAGATATTTCTGGCTGGACACGTGTATAAAATTTTTCTGCAACATTTTTAATAAAATATCACAGTATTTTCTAAAAAAAAAGAGAAAAAAAAGAAACCCAGGATGTTTAATTGGATTTGATTGAGTGCGTGTGTTCTGTATGAAAATGTGACTGGATGTGTGTGCATGTCAGTGTGATTACACTTTAAATCACATTATTACTTATTCATTTAGGTAACAGTGAAAAGTTTAAAGTCCATCTACTTTGTATCTTTTTTTTAAAGCTGGGACATGCAGGAATTTTTTGGCATCAATTGGTAAAAACTCCCAGATTACCTTTCAGCGTATTGTTTTCAGGCAAATAATTTGTCATTAACTCTTTCTCTTTCTTTTTCTCATATGAGTGAAATACGATACACCAGAACTTTAGAAAGAGGCCGAAAAGGTTGGGAACCACTGCTTTAGAGAATCTACCCTGTGATGAGAGACTTTGACCAATCGCAGGTGAGAGCGAGAGAGAGAGCGATCTTATTGGCTATTCAAGAAATGTAGATGCATGTGGATGTCCATTCAGATGGACATGCGTCAATGTTGAACTGCTAACTTCATTTACAACAATTCTTGCGTGCAGGTTTCACAATAAAAACCAACAATTCCTGCACAGAATAAGACATGTTATGATTTCCATGATACAATGAAAACACCCCATTGTTAAATAAGGTTTCAATGATATATAATATTTATATAACATTCCAATAATTCCAATCGCTTCCTGTATGGATTCACATTAAAAGCTCTTTACTCAAACGCTTTTAATGTGAAACATCTTCAGGGGAGAAGTGCTGAGTTTTGTAAAAAAAACAGGAAGTGATATATTTGTACGGAGTCCCTATGGGGACATAGGGGAGAAAAAAAACTTGTGGGGGAAAAAGAAATCTTCAGTTTCTTCACAAGAAGTTTCACGTACGCACGTGAAAGTTTTGCGTGCACAAGAAAGTACTGGGTGCACTGAAAAATAAGTCAGTACATTAACACACACAAGCAGCCTATATCATGCTGTGTTAAGATGGTGGGGTGTGTGAATTCGCAGTGTGTATATGCGTGGTTTTTGGTGCGTATGTGAAGTTTTCAATGTGTATGTGGTTAATTTGATGTGTATGTGCACACTCGGCCTCCCATATATAAGCCTACTTATTGGTGTGCACCAGAAACTTCTCGTGAGCACACGAAACTTTCATGTGCACATGCGAAAGTTTCCCCCCCCCCCCCATGTCCCCTTAGGGGCTCCATATATTTGACACTTCAATACCAGCTTTTGTTTTAAAAACTTGTCGTTCACAGTATAACCAAACATGAGGCATTGTTCAGGTTAAATGTTTGTATCACAGCTTCCTATGATACAACGAAGCCCATTTTCGAAGACGCTAGCTTTGCCTGTTGTTGCAGTGTTTGCAGCACTGACTTTGCATCTGCAAACAGTTTGCTTTCTGCCAGCTAAACTGAATCCTCTGACTGTTTTTGGCCTTTGTGAATTGCTGCTGTACTCCGTGAGGGAAAACAAAGATGCGCTTCTGAGCTGAATAGCAAGAGTTACTGCTGCCGTGGTTACGAGGCCTCTCCCCTGACAATCGGAGCATGCTGTATTCAGTGAAACTGTCTTGAAACCACCCTCCCCTCCTCCGATAGCACCACCCTACCTCCCTTCTCACTATTCAATCTATTGATCCACTTTGCAACAAGCCAAGCAAATTAGCTTTTGACGTAAAACTAAAGTGACAGAGGGGAAATTGAAATCTTTAATAGTAATCTGCAGCTACTGAGGCGCAGTGGATGTCTCCATACAATCCTCTGTGACATTTGCAAACTAAAGGCTGATGTGTGAAACTTTCTTTCATTAGCAAAATTGTTGGATCCATAATCTATGATGCAGCAAACAGGTCCTATAGATACTGAGATAAATGTTTTGCCTTTTAACTGGCATGTTGTTTATGCTTTGGGTATGTTGGGGGTGGGGGGGGTGATTTAGGATGGAGGTATGTGTTTGGGGGAGACTGGAGACTCGACTGGAAGTTAATTAAGCTGGCACCAGCGCTCCATCGCTCAACCACGATCCCAGAACTGTCATTCAAGTGCACCGCTCTCCAGGCAGCCATTACCGAGGCGTATCGATTGTCACGGTGACAAGGTAGTGCACCAAATGGGACTGGGCAGATATGAAGGTTATATGTGTGTGTGTGTGTGTGTGTGTGGGTGTGTGTGGGATGGGGTATAGGTGCTATGGACAGCGTGCAAAAGCCCACTGTGACCATTTGCAGCGAGAGCTGCTGCCGCCGTGCTCTGCAAACATGAATTAAAATGCAGGTAAATACCTTAGCAGCAAAGCCAGTTGATTGCATTCCCCTCCCCGGGTAGCTGGAGCCTTAATAGATGAATATGAAATCTTCAGAGACAATATATATGCAGTTAAGTGGCGAGGCAGCAGTAATGGCCTCCAGAAATCCCCCTCAACATCTTTTATTTTTAGAAGCTATTGTTCCAAACTCACATCCAGCCTCCTCAATAGTTTTTCCTCATCATTTGCAACATGACCTGAGGAATTTTCTACCTCACTCGTTGTCCATGTAAATGAGTGACTCAGAGGTGATGGCAGCAAAGGATCATGGGACTCATGCCAGGTGAATTTCTAAAATCCCTGTGCCGCAACCTGCGCCCCCACAAAATTTCTAAAAATGGCTGTGTGGTATTAATGAATCAAGAGTGTGTGTGTGTGTGTGTGTTTAGCTCCTTGTAGGTCTCTGGGATGCAGCCATTACAATTTCTCCTGTCACAAGGCTTCATGACAGCAGGTTATTTGTCATATCTAGATACTGTTAAATACTTTATCATTTATCCAAGGCTGGATTAAAATGGTAGGGGGTCCCAGAGTAAAACTGAGCTCAAGGCCCCTTCTGATCTCCCTGTTCCCTCCACTGTCCAGACACTATTAGTTACACATCAGGGACAGCCGCATTATAGTCTGTCCAGAGCCCCCGAGACCAACTCAACAAGTTCTCTCATACCAACCTGCCCCTCTTTCATCATTCCCTCCAGAAAGATTTTCTTATTTGACGCTGCTAGAGACACAATGATGCAGGAAATATGCTAGTTGATACTGATACCAATGAAATTCCATGGTTTTCGATACCAAGCAGAAAACAACATAGGCTGTAGCCTACTAATGTTGTGAGCATGTTAGCCGCTAAGTTTAGCCTAAACAAGCTAACATTAGCCTTTGTGAATGTTGTTGAGCATTGATGCCAGTTGTTGCAATTTGCCATAAAATAACGGTATCATTTCAGGACATGAGCATATTGATGACATGTTGTCAATATAAAGTTAACAAATAAAACTCACTAAGCCTGAACTCTGTGTACAGATCTGGATGCCTGTCTTTGAGCTGCTGAGAGAACTTTGAGGTGTTTCCTCCTGTGGCACAGTTTGCTCACTGGCTTTTGGTCATCTACAACTTGCCCCTGAGGATGTCTTGGTTTGGTGCACCTGCACTTGCTGCTGCCATTGCTCATGATGTTGAATTTGTTTACTGCGCCTACCTTCTAATTATCTTCAATTTTATTGTAAGACTAGAAAGCTTGTAGGGTTGTTATACTGCTCTGGTCAGTACGAGAAGAATGACATCTCCTGTACCTATGACATTTGTGATACGGTCTTGGTACCCACGGTACTTGAGAAAAACAAGTACTGTTACATTTTCAGAATTTTGGCATCGACTTAGTACCAAAGTATTGGTTCTCATGACATCCCTACTTACAACTTACTATTACTAACACAAGTTTTCTCATCTATCACCTTCATAATTTAAGTCTGATTAGGTTTTGGAATAAAACCAACTTGCTAAGGAAAAAATTGATTGATAATGGTGCTATTTGTAAGTTTTGCTATTACTACATAGCCAACGCTAGCATTAACAGCTGTGAAGTCAGTGTTGTTGTTCCTTCACCGAC